CCCTTACTGTGAGTGATTGAAATACTTTGCTTCTGAAGGGGTGGTCTTTATCTTCAGCTGAACGAAGCCTCAGTGCCAAAACTTATAAGATCGTGCCCACAGCTTTAATAATGTCTGGATTTTCCTTTTATTTCTATCTGTAAAATGAATTGAAAGACTGCAGAAAATAATTGGGTTTGAGGGGCTGCACTACTAGTGGTCATATTTTTACTTTCAGATAAGGCACTCTGTGTGACAAGTTTTCATCCTTTAAAAATAATGCTTGCAGCTGTGTGTGGTGGCTCACACGTGTAAATCTGGCACTTGGGAGGCCGAGGCTGGAGGATTGCTTCAGGTCAGAAGTTGAAGACCAGCCTGAGAAAGAGCAAAACCTCATTTCTACCAGAAATAGAACAATTAGCTGGGCATAGCGGTGCAGGCCTAGAGTCCCAGCTACTGCAGAGGCTGAGGCGAGATGATCACTCGAGCCCAGGAGTTTGAGGTTGCAGTGAGCTACGACGATGCCATAGCATTCTAGCCGCAGCAACAGAGCAAGACCTGTCTCTGAAAAACTGATGCTTGAGTCTTCAATTGGATGCAGTAGGCCTTCTCTCTACAGATTACTTCTTAGGCAGATTATTGCTTTCTCTTCTCTCTGATCCATATATCTTACTCCTTCACTAATTGAAAATACTAGTGAGCTACAGGATGCCTGGACCTATGTTAATTTCTGAAACAAGCACACAACTTGCATTTTTCAGCCTTCAATATGTTGGACTTTTTTCTTTTATATGTGAGTGTTTATGCAGAATTCTAACATGAGAATGATCACAGCTGATAAAAACCATGCAACTTTTAAACCAAAGGCTCTACATGCTTTAAGTGAGCCCTTAATGAGGGAAAAATACAGCTAATCCTTGGTCTGGGGCACAGGGAAGCATAGTTCTTGGCAAGTCCTTGCTTTGACACAAGCACCTCTGAGTGGAACTCTGAGTAAGGCTCATCTTGAAACCAGGCCGTGCTGAAGGTTAGCCCACTTTCTGCTGGAATCCTCCTCATGCTGCTGTTTTACTTCTGTTACCCGTTTCCACACTCGGCCTGGTCCCCACCACCAGACTAACAGTTGACATGAACTAGGCTTAGGCTTTAGAAGGTTTGATTACACCTTTAAAGGTCTGATTCTGTCCGGATGGCGTAGTTTCACAGTGAGTCTTAAACCACTGAGCACAGGCCCGACAGACAGTGCTCAGTAAATTTTAGCTTTCCTTCTTAATTATAAACCGCTCGGACAAGAATGTGAGGAGTTTTCTTAGCTTACACTCAGCATACCTAATCTCTCAAGGTCACGTTACTGAACAACCTGCACAGCAGGGACGCTCTGCCCCACTTTTTCCTGTGCTTTTGGGCATCTGCATGAGGCTGTGGAGACTGCCTTAATTTAAGACTCCCCGAGAAGTAACGTGATGGTGTTAGGATAAAACACAACAGGATCTTTTCAAAGAAGTTTGAAGTATTGGGTATCACTAGCAAAATTTTAAACTTGTCAAGGGCTTTATTATTTTATCCACGTATCCACTTGCACTGCACCGAGCCACAGAGATCGAGCAGAGGAGGACTGATGACAGTTAACACATGTGTCATCTGGACTGTATTTTTAAGTCTGCTTTTGCCCAATCACCGAGTGTGCTTTCAATCGGCAGCCAAAACATTTTGTACCAAAGTGGTCTGATATGGGCTAGATGCTCTAGCTACCAAATCCAGAGTGCCTGTCCTGTAGGAACTTTAAGTGATTTAGAGCTTTAAAAAATATAATCACTTCTCGATACAAAACAAGAAGATTAATAGGAATTCAACTTCATGCAACTTGAATTTTAAGAAATACATTGCTATTTCTTAAGATTTAAATGTAATACAGGTACTGTTTTGCTTATCTAGATTGTTCAGCTAGACTGTGAAATATAACCACCACTTTGAATACTTTCCTAAGGGAAAAATATTGCTCAAACT